GTGTGTATGGACTCCGCAGTCTATCAATAATTAAAATTCCTGTGAGTTGTTGTGTAGGAAGGGCCCCAGTGCATTGATTTGCCCAGGGGCCCTTAACTCTGTTAAAATGGTACTGCTTGTGTGTGTCAGTGAGCTTGTCTTTAGTGAGCTTGTGTGTGTCCCTGAACTTCTTTGTAGTGAGCCTTCTGTTTATACAAGTGAGTTTATCTGTAGTAAACTTGTGTGTGAGCCAGAGAGTTTTGTCTGTCAGTAAGCCTATTTGCGCATGTCAGTGAGCTTGTGTGCTTACTGTAATATATATATGTGTGTATATATATATATATATATATATATATATATATATATATATATACACACACTAGTAGGAATGGCATACATTTTTTTTCCAGGGCTGCTTTGGATTTCCAGGGATTCCCAGTTTGGCTCTGCCAGCGAGTGCACTTTACCGCTGAATCATCTGCGTGAGCTGCCGCACACTTTAGCCCTGTTACACGCGTCTGGGAGCTGCTGTTGACAGGTACTAGTAGTCTAGAGATTGGTTCATGGGGTATATGCTCAGCTATCTGTAATACAGATCTGTGTGTATATAATATCCCGGAATAGTCAGTGCTTCCTGTATAGTGCTGCTCTCTGTATAATACAGGCCTGTGCCTGTATAATATCCCGGGACAGTCAGTGCTCCCTGTATAGTGCTGCTCTCTGTCTTGGGATATTATACACAGACCTGTATTAGACCTGTATTATACAGAGAGCAGCGCTATACAGGGAGCACTGAGTGTCCCAATTTATTATACACACAAACCTGTATTATACAGAGGGCACTGATTGTCCAGGGATATTATACCCAGACAGTAATTGATAGCTGTGCTGCAAAATGTCCTTGGAATTTTTTTTTCAAATGTTGGCAACTATGGCACTGTATCAAGGGTAATGTGTTTGTTTTTTTAATAATCCCTGGTGGAAAATGATGAATCCTCCACCAGGTATTATTAAAAAAACAAAACACATTGTGTCGGGGCGGGGCTTAACATGCAACAGGGGCGGGGTCAAACTGCGGCGAGGGCCCTCCATGTGCCCCCCTTAAAAATGAATCCTAGAGAGGCCACTGATAGGAGTTGGGGCGTAAAACCCAACAAGACAGGGGGTAGCAATCGAACAAGGTGGAGTGAAGCAGAGCTGGAGGAGAGAATAGAGTGCTGCCCTTTCGGAGTGAGCAAGGGACAGGTATGTAAGGTAGAGGTTAAAGGGACTTTCCAGTGCCAGGAAAACAAATCTGCACAATTAATCCCTCTATATACTGAATGACACACAATGCTCTGCACAGTGAATCCCTCTATATACTGAGTGACACACACTGCTCTGCACACTGAATCCCTCTATATACTGAGTGGCACACAATGCTCTGTACAATTAATCCCTCTATATACTGAGTGACACACAATGCTCTGTACAATTAATCCCTCTATATACTGAATGACACACAATGCTCTGCACAGTGAATCCCTCTATATACTGAGTGACACACACTGCTCTGCACACTGAATCCCTCTATATACTGAGTGGCACACAATGCTCTGTACAATTAATCCCTCTATATACTGAGTGACACACAATGCTCTGTACAATTAATCCCTCTATATACTGAATGACACACAATGCTCTGCACAGTGAATCCCTCTATATACTGAGTGACACACACTGCTCTGCACACTGAATCCCTCTATATACTGAGTGACACACAATGCTCTGTACAATTAATCCCTCTATATACTGAGTGACACATACTGCTATGCACACTATATATAAGTGACATACATACAATTCTCTGCACAATTAATCCTCTATATATACTGA